AACCTGTTTTTTACCTTTATGCATTACAAAATGTATAAGTAATTTAAGGCTAGTACCTGGCTTACCTCACCGAAGGCATGGTCCTTGTAACGAAGAACTTGTTAACGAATATCAGGTAAATACCTTTATATAAAACTTTCAGCTGCTAATGTCGATGAATCAGAGGTATATAAGGTTTAAAGTTATTCTTCACTTGCTCTTTTGAACAACATTAGAACAGTTATTCTTACAGGAAATAGACGTATTAAAATTGCAAGTAGAACAAGTGTTTTTGGCTTGCATGGGCGATGCAATCAATGAGGAATTGAAAAAACCAGCACTTCATGAATTGGTACACACTGAATTTATTGGTAAAACTAGAACTGTAAGAGGAATTTGTTATAGATTTTATACCATTACGCCGCTCTGGTTTTAGCTTAATCTACAACAGATCACTATTTTAAGTTATATTTTCTTTTGAACGTTAATTTCATCAAGCAGCTAATTTCTTTTGTATTTATCGACACAACAAATAACAATTTTTTAGGGAAAATGTGATTCAACATTTCCAGAACTGCCTGAGTTTCATGAAACTCATTCCTGCTTTCAGAGGGTTAGATTACTGCAAATTCATTGTAGGAAGATTGGTGAATGTTGCGATCAAGTAAATACGTCAGTTACCCTTTTCTTCTAAAATCAAAATTCTTTTCTAAATTTTTGAAGAAATTTGTTTAAATTGGAGAGAATGCTACAAGGTTACATACTCTAAGTTGCTATGACTTATTCAAATTAATTTCACATGAATTCAGTTGCAACCAAAAAGCGAAAACATCGTTGTATGCCGAAACCTTAAAAAGCCGTAAAGAAGATGTGATGTTAAAGTCAGCAGCTTGCCAAATACTTAGCTTTAAGCAGTATCAGTTCAGGCATAGTAAGTTGCTGTATCAACTTGTTTTTAACAATTATTTAGGCAGTCTTTGGGCAGTCTTTCGATAAAGATTTTCAGCTTATTATCTATAGTTTTAATGTGCTGTGAAAGTCACGTTGAAAATAAAATATTTTAGAGTTTGCGAGGTGACCTCGTAAAGTGCAGTCAGAAAAGAATCTAAGAAGTAATCGAATCTCGCAGCAAAACCTTTCAAACCTCAGTATAACAACTCAGAGCAATGAATTTTATTTTTTTTTATTTTGTTTTGTTTTTTTTTTTTT